TGACAAAAATGTGTCAAGTGGAAAAATAAATTCACATCACTGTGATTCTCTGCAGCACCTGGACTTGGACCATGCTGACACAAAGCAAGTAGTTAAAGATCAGAGCCGTGCGAACCGAGCAGCTCAAGCTTTGTTAAAGGTTAACAAAACTCTACAAAATATTAGCATCTTACAAAAAAGAGGAAATTTTGCTTATTAGAATGAACTGCTGTTACAAGAATTACTTGTAATTGACTTGTTCCATATATATATGTGTATATATGTATAATATGGAACACTGGATCTGCTGTGTTAATGCAAAGAAAACCATGCCATGTCATGCTCAGCTTCAGCTGTTTAATAGCTTCATTTACTGGTTACAGGTTAAAGACAGACAATCAAAAAGAAGTTTAATGTTTTATATAATTCTGACCTCAAAACGCTGTTTGAACCACTTACTGTTTTTTGTAATTGATGTCATTTCACGTGAGCTTTTGTAAATCCGACCCTGAACACTTTACTCACACACTATCAAACTGTAACTCACCTTGTAGGAGAACAGTGCTCTGGGGACTGATCTGTGCACGCTTGACCAGGTATTTATATCTTAGACTAGAGTAGAGCCCTCATCTAGGACCCTAACCTTAGCTTGGTTTTCTGGACTAATGTGAATCTTGAAAACTAAACTACATACTGCTGCACCGAGTGCTAACAACAGAACACACTACATTAAATCGTTTGTGCAAGTGTAAAATTCAAAGCGCTTGCAGGAAACTAGATGATAGATCTGTGAGGGCTGCCCTGCTAATGATGGTAGGTGGAGTTGATCTAGAATAGCTTTTTTAGAGAGAGTATCTAGAACCTGTTTGTTGTAGCAGCTGCCTTTAATGTCAGTGTGGAACACGTGTTGCAGGAGAACAGTGCTCTGAGGACTAATCTGTGCGCTCTTGAACAGGTAATTATTTCCTGACTCCTCATGTAGAGTTTAGCATTAGATTGAGGTCCTGAAATGAACTTTGATTCCTAGAATCTTTTCTAGAGGCTTTTTTTTAAGGTTGATCCCCTTAAAAATAAAATAACATGACTGTGTATGCTGAGAATGTGTTGATGTCCTGAGGCAGAAGCCTGAGTAGAGAGTGACTGGTTACGGTGACTGAGATTAGTTGGTTAGAGCTCCTCAAAATAATCACGATGATCAATTTTTCCTGCTTTCCAGCAGGTTCCTGCTTTAATAATGATTTATGTAATGAAAATGTTGATGCTGGAAGTCAGTAACCTCAGCTGTAGCTCATCAGGGTTCACATCCATGGTCCATGTTGCTTTCTTTGTTTGTGTCTAGCAAGATATATATTTGATGAAATGTACGACCTTTGGCCTGATTAGATCTGTTCGTATTGTTCTGAAACACTTTATTTTGGAAAATGAATCAGGAACCAACTGTGTTATATGTTAGGTTTTCAGGTTACTTGGAGGGCAACATCTTCACCTTTTGATGTCTTAAATGCTTTTTAGAAAGAAAAACTCTAGTGTTTGATTTTTCAGTCAGAACTTTTCCACCCAAATCCCAAGACTTGGAGAAATACTTTTTCAAAGTAAAAGTTGCATATTCTGATGGCATACTGT